TGCATAATAGCTGAGCTCTTAATACCATAGTACAGAACTAGTTTCCCCACTATGCAAAAAAGAGTAACACCCAGGTCAGCAGGAACATATCTCATAAAGAAATGACAAATTATAAGAACAAGGGGGTGTTGATATTTTAATTCATGATCTATTTATCAATCCTTTCACAGAAATTGATCATTGAAGCCCAAAAGCAATGGAAGAGAAAAATTTCACCGAAGTGAAGGAGTTCATATTTTTAGGGTTCACAGTCAACTTGAGGTTACAGAGAGGGCTCTTTTTCATCTTCCTCATCATTTATGTCATCAGTCTCTTAGGGAATTTCACCCTGATTTCTCTGATCTGTAGTGATTCAAGGATCCACACACCCATGTAATTCTTCACTGGGAACCTGTCATTCCTGGATCTCTGGTATTCTTCTATCTCCCCAAGATCCTAGTGACCTGCATCTCTGAGGACATAAGCATCTCCTTTGCTAGCTGTGTAGCTCAGTTCTTCTTCTCTGCTGGACTGACATATAGTGAGTGTTACCTGTTAGCTACCATGGCTTATGACTGCTATGTAGTCATCTCCAATCCCCTGCTTTACTCCCAATCTATGTCCCCGAGATTATGTACTAGTCTTGTTGCAGCTTCATACCTTGGTGGCTTTATAATTCAACCATCATCACCAGGAAAATATTTACCCTGAGCTTCTGTGGCAACAATATCACTGATGATTTCTTCTGTGATCTTCCCCCACTAGTGAAATTAGCGTGTGATGAGAAGGACAGTTACCAGGCTGTGCTATACTTCATACTTGCCACCAATGTCATTACTCCCACCATACTCATTCTTGCCTCCTACCTCTTCATCATTGCTGCCATATTGAAGATCTGCTCTGCCCAAGGCCGTTTCAAGGCCTTCTCCACTTGTGGCTCTCACCTGACAGCAGTCACCTTGTACCATGGCTCCATTCTCTTCATTTACTCCTGGCCAAGCACTAGTTATGCCCTGGAACGGGATAAAGTGGTGTCAGTGTTCTATACTGTGGTGTTTCCAATGTTGAACCCTTTAATCTATAGCTTAAGAAACAAAGATGTGAAAGATGCCTTGAAGAAAGTGTTAGACAGAGCAAAGTTTTCTTAAGTGAAAATACTTGGTAAGCAATGGCTATTTTTTCACTGACGGTCTTCATATCACTGTTATCAGCCTGTACTCTATGAAATAAAAATAAATAAGCAAACAAGCAAAAACTAATTGGATAGTATAGAAACACTATTTTACATTTGTCTTTTTAAGTCATGTACTAATGCATTTCAATGCATTTTTAAAATAAATGGAGCTGGGGCATTTGAAAAACTGCTGTCTGCTAGTCTAGAACAGCACCTATTAAACTGCTGGCATTGTGACTTTAAAAGAAACGCTGACATTTTATTTCCACTGGAATGTTCATAAGTTGCCTGTGTATAATATTTTCCATCTATAAATAGGAATAATACAGCTGGTTATGGAATCCTTGTCTGGTTTAGATGGATTAAATATCTTGCTTCAAATCCTGTAGTCCACGAGTAAGAAAGGAGGAAAGTAAATGCAGAAGTCCCAGCTCCAGAGATCCTTAACCTTCTTGTTGGGGGAGAGTGAGTTAGGAAGTAGTAGAAAAATATCTACTTTAAAATGGCCCTAGAAACAAGTTTGTCTTTTGTCTTTTCTGATTCTGATTTTTTGACTTTCCATGATATAAAGATGACAGGTTTCGTTGGCAATAAGCGCATGAGAGAACAAACATCTTAAGAGTTACTGTGAGCTTTCAGCAAAACAATTTTTTTTTCTCCAACAATTAAAGAATCAAGAGCAAAGGTATAGAAACTTTATGTGAGAGGCAGAAATAGAGATGGAGATACAGATAGAAAAGTAGATGAGAGAGAGATTCCAAAAAGTGTTAAATCTAAAGGAATACTTAGAGTGAAAATCTTTATTGGGGGTAGTGATTAATAACCATGAACCCAAAGCCAAATCAAACCCATTGCCTTCGAGTCGATTCTGACTCATAGTGACCCTATAGGACAGAGTAGAACTGCCCCATTGGGTTTCCAAGGCTGTAATCTTTAAGGAAGCAAACTGCCAGGTTTTTCTCCTGTGAAGCACCAGGTGGGTTCAAACTTCTGACTTTCTAGTTAGCAGCCAAGCACTTTAACCACTGCACCACCAGGGCTCCTAATAACCACTGAGGTATATAAATGTCTGTATTTGTTTGCTTATTCATTTTATGTATAATGAATTTATACTTAAATAATAGAGAATATTTCCTTGTGATGCACACTTTTCTTCGTCATAATCGTATTTTTACATATAAGACACGAGGTTGTAACAATGTAAAAACACCCTATTGTTGGTTTCCAAGAATGGATAGTAGTTTGCTGAAGGACAAGACAGGGAAGGGTAGCCTGGACAGAGAGATAAGGAACAAAATTGTGGACAACATGATATATTCTAGAAAATCTAATGAGTACAATTTGGAGAATTTCTATTATCAGACACATTTAATGTTTGTATTCTGGCTTAGATCATAAAGAAAAAAGTTAACTTTTAATTTTCAGTAAAATACTACTCATTTCATCATATCCTAATTAATATATCAACTCTTAACTCCAAATGAGATCTAATTGAGCCTTCTCCACCTGTACTTCCTGCCTGATCTCAGTCATACTCTTCTATGGATCCTTGCTCTTCATGTACACAAGGCCTAGATCCACCGACTCTCTGGAGAGAGACAAAGTGGCTACCCTGTTCTACACTGTGGTGAACCCATTGCTCAACTCTTTCATCTACAGCACGAGGAAAAAAGATGTCAAAGAAGTTTTCAGGAAAACAATATGGACCATACAACCACAAGGATGAAGGTCATCATTTATCTTTTTAATGAATGCTCTTACTGTATTTTCCAAATCATTGGCTTATAGACATGTTTGTAAACTTTTATCCATTTCAATTAAATTCTACAAGTTAGACCTAACTACTAAGTAAACTACTCTTTAATTTGTATTACTATGTTGCTGTAATGTAAAATATTTTAAACCTACAATATTGAGTTGTTTGATGTTCTGCAAGATTTCAGCTTGCCTCTTTGTACTACTAGACTTTTTACAGAATGTGTCCTTTTGGTGATGTCTTGGAAAGAGAAGAAAGAAATTGGTGGAATTTTGTGTATATGATTTGACTTTGAAGCTTGGCAAGCAAACCCTGTTGGGTGAGACGACATGGAATGGTTCGACTGCTGGAAATGCTCAAAATCTTACAAACATTTATTTCAGTAAGGTGTTTTCTCCAAATCCCTTCACAAAGTTCTAATTGAGTATGTAGAAAATATCTGTGTAAACCTGTGTCTTATACATTAATAAAATATTAAGTGAAGTGTTTAGAAGTTGTTTAGATTATTTTAAAAAATAAAAGATTCTAAATCCATGGAGAAAGATGTCCCTTTAGAATTGTATGTCACCTTACCTGTTGCACTCGAGTCGACCTTAAAAAGAGTGATTTCTCCCTTATATAGTGAGTATACCACCGTATTATCCCTCATGCCACACCATCCTATATGCCCCCACTAGGAGAAAATAACAGACTCAAGTGGTACAAAATGAAACAAACACACAAATTTTAAAAATTTTAAGAAAAGAAAACACTATACTCTAGATTCATTGTTTTCTTCTACCAGAAAACTTTAACTACAAAAGAAGTTTACAGCTCAATATCTGGGACATAGCAGATTTTTAGTAAATACTTTATTCAATACTCACAAAAACACTGTAAGTTAGCAATTATTAGTTCCATTTTACATATGAGGACCTTGAAGCTCAGAAGTTAGAACTTTGCTACTGAAAGATTTTAACTATTGCTGGAATGAGCACCTTTATAAAATGCATTGAAATCATAATTTTAAGACAAATAATTATAGTCACTTCCTTTGTGTTAGTTCTGGCATTTCTAATCTTTCCTTTCCCCTGTAGTTACTTTCTAATTTGTCACCGTCCACTCTTTTCATCACAACATTGCTAACATTCTGTGCTCTTCCATCACCAAGGAAGCCCTGGGACTACTGGACTAGAATGATTTGGGGCATATTCTATAAATTTCAACAATCTCTATAACATTTTCTTCATATTCCCATAACAACTAGCACATAAGGGAAAAAAGAAAACTTGAGTCAATCTTAGAGGAGATAGTCATGTAAAAATTAATCATTTGGGATCTCAGAAGTAATACATACACCTGTTTGTTTTACATTAAACCAAGGTATGGCTTTAAAACACCTACATTAATATGAATATTTAATATTAATATATTAAACTGACTCATATTTGTTTCACATTAAACCAAGATATTTATTTTTTAAAAGCTATAATAATATGAAACTGGAGCTATGTTATATAGTGTCCCTGGGTGGCACAAACGGTCAAGTGCTTAGTTAGTAACCATAAAGACTGGCAGTTAAAACCCACCCCAAGACACGTCTGCTTCTGAAAGGTCATGTTGTTGTTAGGTGCACGGAGTCCCTTCTGAATCATAGTTACCGTATATAAACAACACAAAACACTGCTGGATCCTACACCATCCTCACAATCTTTGCTGTGTTTGAGCCCATCTTATACCACTGTGTCAGTCATCTTGTTGAGGGTCTTCCTTTTGTCCCTGACCCTCTACTTTACCAAGCATTATGTCCTCCAGGGACTGGTCCCTCCTGACAACATGCCCAAAGTACTTGAGACAAAGTCTCAGCATCCTCGCCTCTAATAGTCATTGAAAACCCTGTTGAGCACAGTTCCTCAAAATATGAGGTCAACGTGACTCTGATCAATTAGACTCGACGGTAACTTTTTTTCCCTACATTCTACAGTATAGATTAGAGTCTGATCAATACTAAAACAAAACAAAAAGTCTAAAATAAAGAAATACATCTTTTTCAATGAATTCTTGTAATAAAAAAGAATAGTTTTTTAATCCCAGTTCCCCAATTCACCCTGAAGCAATCCATTATCACTTACCTCTGATTTGAGAAATTTATGTCAATTTAGACATCTGGCTGTGTTAACCTGAGAAGTTTTTTCAGAACCTCTTTCACATCTTTATTCCTCAGACTGTAGATCATGGGATTCAACATGGAGAAGACCACAGTATAAAATGCAGAAACCATTTTGTCCCTCTCAAGGGAATAGCTGGAGCTTGGGCGAGAGTAGATGTAGAGAATGGAGCCATAAAATAAGGTGACAGAGATCAAGTGGGGAAAGCAGGTAGAGAAGGCTTTGAGGCGGCCCTGGGTGGACCGGATCCTCAAGATGGCAGCAATGATGAAGAGGTAGGAGGCTAGTATGAGCACAGTGGGGGTGATGACATTGGAAGCCATGAGGAAGTACAGCACCGCCTGGTAGCTCTCTTTCACATCACATGCCAACTTCACCAGTGGTGGGACATCACAGAAGAAGTCATCAATGACATTGTCACCACAAAAATTCAACGTGAATGTGTTGCTGGTGATTATTATTGCATTGACAAAACCTCCAGTATAGCAAGATATGACTAAATAGATGCACAGTCTTTTTGACATGACCAGAGCATAAAGCAAGGGGTTGGAGATGGCCACATAGCGGTCATAAGCCATGGCGGCCAATAAGTAACACTCACTATATCCCAGTCCAACAGCAAACAAGAACTGAGCTACACAGCCAGCAAAGGAAATGCTTTTGTTCCCAGAGATGCAAGTTGCTAAGATCTTTGGGGTGTAGACAGAGGAATACCAGAGACCCAGGAATGACAGATTGCCAATGAAAAAATACATGAGTGTATGGAGCCGGGAGTCATTGCAGATCAATGTTATGAGAGTGGTATTCCCCACCAGGGTCACAGAGTACACGCTAAGGAACACCACAAATAGGACCAACTTCATCACAGGGTCTGTTGTGAAGCCGACCAGAATGAACTCAGTCACAGTGTGATTGCCCCTCTCCATAGCTAAAGGAACCTCATCCACAAATGGAGTTTAACTCCCTCAACTCGTATCAAATGAAGGCATTCTATGTACCAGGTACATGTGATGTGGTCAAGACTAAAGGTATTAAAATGAGATCTGAACAGGAATCTTGACTTCAGAAAGTGATGGGAGTTCTCTGAGTCTCAATATATTCATGTCAATAAAAACTATTTGTAGTAGTACAGCCATAATGCTGCTGGGGATCTATTCATTTTTTTCAGGACAAATTTTTTTTGAACCTCAGGTGATGTTCTAGGCACAGTGTGGTCCCTTTTTTTTTAATGGAGCTTTTATTCTATAGAAAGAGACAACAATAAAAAAAAAAGTAAAGAAAGATTTGTAGATAATGTTAAATGTTATTAAAAAAAAAAGTGGGTGATGGGATTTAAAAAAAGCTGGAAGAGGGTCTAATTGAATTTAAACACCCAGGGAAACTCTCCCTTCCCACATTTCCCAGAAGGAATGGACAAGTTGTTCAGATAGCGTGAGAGGTAGGAAGGTCCCCACAGTTCAAAAAATGATGACATTCTCCTCTTTTGCAAATATAGAGAAAGTTTTCCCCTCAGCTACCCTAGAGGAGACTTTGGTACAATTACCGTAAATCCCAAGAGTGAGAACCAGATTAAGAATCAGAGTGAAATTTCAGAGTGGAGATAAATGACCGAATCCATCTGGTTATGTCAAGTAAATCAAAAGTGATGTCATCGTTGGTCTTTCAGGATCAAAAAGCCAGGAACTTAGCATAATGCTAAAGTATCAGACATTAGTATTTAGCAACTGGCATTATTCTACATTAGCATTTAGCATTATTCTACAGATTCAAACATTAGCCTTTAGCATTATTCTACAGATTCAAACATTAGCCTTTAGCATTATTCTACCGTATCAAAAATTAACATTTAACCTTATTCTTATTTTTTAATGCCTTCTTTATACTCTTGAAATGAAATTTATAGATCATTTAACCTACTTACAAACATATATATGCATGGAAATACCCTAAGTCTAATATAAAGTTAAGTAAAAGGAAAGAAGTTTGTTATATAATTATTACATGGTAATAATTATAATATAGGAATTATATAAAACAATGTCAATTTAAATATGTAAGTGCTAAAATACTTAATGAAACATATACTTACACACATAAATAGCATCCTGATGAATATGTCCATGATTCGAATATCAGAAGTGGCATTTACAATGGTGACATGATTTTTCTTACAATGGAACAATTCTTGATAAAATCCCAAACAAAACAAATGACAATCTTCCCTCAATTTTGAATTTCTAGGCAAGTTGGTAAGTATCAAAACCTTGAAAAATGTATTTTGTGGATATGTAACATTTTTTTCTGGAATAGTGAATAATTCTTGGTAAAATTCCAAAAAAAAAATTACAATTATCTCTTAATTTTCAGTCATTGCATTTCTAGAAAAATTCATATGTATTAAAACTTTCCAAAATATATGTTGTGTTTATTTTTAAAGTGGAATAGATTACAGATTCATCATTATAAAGAGCTTCACATACACAGATGTCTATCAAGACTGTGTATAAGGAGTGGAACATTCTTCTTTTATGGGACTGTCCCACGGGTGCAGGACATCTTTCATCTTTCTCTCCAAAAACTAAACTGCCAGGAAGGGCCCCAATTTTTGTGTCAATCAAAAATCTGAACACATATTACAAAAACGTTCTGTAAGGGATTTTACTACTTTGCTGAGAACTTCTCCACAAATTTTCAAGTCGCTATGTAACTCTTCATAGCATTCTTCTAGGAATTATATGAAGGAATAGCAGATAACTGGAGGAAATCATTGAGTGGTCAAATAATCTATCACAATATAGCATGCCATCCACCTTTTCACGGGTCCACTGTGTCACTGGGGTCAAGGGGAGATAGGAGATCACTAGGATGTTAACGGAACCCCTAGGTGGCACAAACAGTTTAGTGCTCCACTATTAGCTGAAGGATTGGTGGTTCAAACCCACCCAGAGGCACCTCAGAGGACAAGCCTGGCAATCTGCATCCAAAAGGTAACAGCCTTGAAAACCCTATGGAGCAGTTCTACTCTGAAACACACAGGGCATCATGAGTTAGTTGGAATCGCCTCAGCGTCAACTACCAACAACAGTAAAGGTGTACACTCCATGAGAGGAGGGATTTTTGCGTGTTTTATTCATTACTGTATCTCTAGTGCCTAGAGTAGCGTCTGGCATATAACAGGTACGTAATCAATATTTGCTGAAGGAATTAATAAATGAATGGATGAGTGGGCCACCCTGATTCTGAATAGAAGCAAGTCAACAGAATCTCTTTTCTGGGTGGTCTGGTAATGATGTCATTCTACCCTAAAACCACCAGCTGAGTTGTGTGGTACCCGCATGTATTTCCTGGCACCAGTAATCCCTGGCTTTTGTGTTCTCTGCAGACACATATAGGAAGAAGCAAAGAAATCTGTCCACAAAATAGTCAGCCTGACCAATTATCATAATTTTTTCCCACGAGTGGGTTTGTGAAGAAGGTGTTTTTCAGATTAGCAACAGATCATCATTATATGTCATGATGGAGGCAAAGCATGTCTCAAAAATCAGAGCTGACTGCTCAAACTGGAGATTACTGGGGTATCAGAAAATACATTTGATTTTTAAGCAAATAACATGGATCAAGTTCAGTCTCCATGACATCAAGGCTGTGGGACCTTGGAGAAATCACTAATCACCATAGTTAAGCATCAATTTTTTTTATATTATATTATAATGGGTTTATTATCGATACAACAACAACAGGGTTGTTGATGGAATCAACTGGACAGCAACCACCACCAACAACAGCATTGTTGTAAAGATTAAAGGAGATAACCCATGTAAGGGCTGAGCACAGTCCCTGACAGGTGGTAAACACTCAAGCAAACAGTGGTTCTCAAATTCAGCGCAGGTAAGAACCACTTGGACTCGACCCCAGAGATTCCAATTTAGCAAGTTATGAGTGAAACCCAGAAACCTACTTTACCTCAAGCAGCCCAAGTATTTCTGATGCAATTTTTTGTAGATCACATCTGAGAAATGCTGAAATGGACATCAGTTATGTTATTAATATTATTATCACTGTTCTTTGTTTCAGCAGTCCTGCATATATTACAATGTTGTGGATAATCGAGGATCTAACGAATGTAAGGCTTTCCACAGTGTTATACATTTAACGAGATGAGCAATGAACAGATCTCCATGTGAGTTCTGATGTCAGTTACTTCAATCACTCTAAATATGGGTTGTTCAAGTGGCTAATATGCTGCTGACAGGTTGGAGGTTTGAGTCTACCCTAAGGTACCTCAGAACAAAGGCCTAGTGATCTACTTCTGAAAAATCAGCTATTGAAAACTCTATGGAGCACAGTTCTACTCTAGTATACATGGGGTCACCAAGATTTGGAGTCAATTCAGGGTAACTGCTAAAAACTTTGGAAAACTTATTTAATTTCCCCAAACCTCATTTTCCCTATCTATTAATTGGAATAATAATAATTTCCTCATATGATTGTAGGAAAACTTAAAGGAGATGTTGTATATAGAGTGCTTAGCACATGGTTTGATATGTAAAAAATATTTATCATTTCGTATGCAAGTAATGATGTTACGCAGCTGTAAAGCTTTGGTATTGCTTTTTTCTGTACAATATTGCATGAGTAAAATTTTATCCAATACCTCTCCTATGTATCCTGATATATAGTCTCTCTTCTAATCTTGCATCATTCTGTTCTATACTCTCTCACAACCACCCTTTGCCCCACAGTCCTCTCAGTGCCATCTGTCAGTTCGTTATACTGTGTTGATCTGAGTGCTGCCCTGATGCTAGAAACTATGCCACCGGTGATTCAAATACCAGCAGTGTCACCCATGGTGGACAGGTTTCAATGGAGCTTCCAAACTAAGACAGAGCAGAAGAAAGTCCTTGTGATCTACTTCTTAAAATTAATCAATGAAAACTTTATGGATCACAACAGTGCATCACGTTTGGTGAAGCAGAGTGACCGTGAGGGCCAAGGAGACCCTCAGTGAGATGAATTAGTTCAATAGCTACTATGATGGACTTGACCATGTTGTGATTGTGAGGATGATGCAGGACTGGGCAATATTTTATTCTGTTGTACATAATGTCACCGTAAGTCAGAGTTGACTCCATGGCAACTAACAACAGCAACCACATCTCAATTACCTAACTATCCATCATGGAGCCCAGTGTGGTGCTCTGTCCTTTGCTTCCCTCATCCTTCTGTTCAAGTTCTCTGCTCTGACCTCCATCCGTTTAGAGATGGTAATTCTCTTCTACTGTGTTTCAGACCCATTTGAGACTCCTAGGAAAGCCATATAATTACTCTCACAATGTAAAACATAAAACACAACAAAACAAAACCCCTCATAACTCCACTGGGCATACAGAAACAAAATGGAGCCCACATTTTCTTGATGTTTCCCCTGAAACCCACCTATGTACACCAGTTAAGAGCCGGGCTTGAAGAGCTGAGTCATCTGTTATCAGAACCAGAAGATTATGCCTATCTAATAGTGTGTCTAACCAACTAACATGTTTATTCTACTACTCAGGTTATATGTGCATTATGAGCTAAAACAGCATTTTTCATCCACCCAAAATTATTAAAATACATTTTTTTCCTTTTAGATGTAAGCCTTTGTTGTCTGAAAGTCTTCTTAAGTATACCATATTTAAAGAAATATTAAAGTGAAAGAAATTAAAATTTCTCTTTTGACCCTTAGACCCCTACCCTCTGCTCCTTCACTCTGCTGCTCCAGTTACTCCTGAGATAGTCACAGGTGCTCCTGGCTAAGTGAATCCTAATGGTTTCTTATTTGTTTCTATAGTTTTTGTCTTCCCTGTTGTTCGCTGTAATGCTAGTTCTCCTTTTTATGCCACTAACAGCAAGAAATAATACATCTCTTCTTGTGTCTTCAGTAGTTTCAGAGATGGCAATTGGATGATTATGATTTTTAAAGAAGGCCTTTCCGTAGCCATTATCATGTCTTAAGTAGGCAAATGGCGATTGGACTGGTTGTGAGAAACAAATAAAATCTCCCATCTACCTCTAACTTCTGGATTAGGCAACTTACCTAAAATTCTCAGCAACACCACCATCCCAACAGTATTCAAATCTGCTACTCTCAGAATCTT